CGCCAAGGCCTCCTCCCTCCGACGCGGCCGTGCCTGGACTTCCTTTCCCATGGTTTCGATATGGGGGTTGTTGCTCCCTCTGTGTCACAGGATCGTCTCACACGCCTCCGCCTCCCTCCCCCCTTCCTCCTTCTCGCCTCCTCCATCCGAATTCGTACCTGGGCTCACCCACACAGCCTCGCCCACTCTCAGACTCACTCACACTCAGACTCACGCATACTCACTGACACTGAGGCTTACTCATTTCAGACCCTTTCACGCTCAGACTCGCCCGCATAATTATTGTCCTCAGACTCGCTCGTAGTCAGATCAGTCATGCTCAGACTCATTGTTGCAAAGATTCAGTCATCTCCAGACTCACTCACAGGCAGACTCACTGATACTCTCGCGTAATCATATTACGACTTAGTCACACTCATCACGCATGTTCGCATTCTTTCTCAAACAGGCCCAGTCGCGCCCAGACTGTCAGGAACTCTCACACGAAACTGCAGTCTGTGTTATGGGGAAGACGCGTCTCCTCTTCAGAGGTCCATAATGATCGAGACATTATAGGTGTGGCACTCAGGCATCCCGAAGTGGAGCCGACGGGGTGTTGCACGGCCCCCTTCGCGCCCAGATTGTCGGGACCTCTCAGGCAGAGTGGCCGTCTTGAGATGGCAGGTTTCTTTGTATTTCAGAGCCCCATGATCATCGCGATGTCGCAGGCATTGCACTCGGGCGTCCCAAGTGTGCGATGCCAGTCTGTGCTGCGCGGACCCGTCGTCGACCAGATTGCCGGAACTTCATCGCCACCAAGCTCCTTTAAAGGGGGAGACGTTGCTCTCGTCGAAGCTCAAAAACCAGCCACCTCAATGTAGCAGGCATGGCACTCGGGCATGCCAGGGGGGGGGGGGTTCGCCGGGATGTGTTGCGTGGCCCCGTTCGCGTCCAGGTGGTTGGGGCATCTCAGGCAGAATTGTTGATTTGTTTGGGGGGGGCGACGGACGCGTGCCCCTGTAAGGAGCACAATGATCACCGCGATGTAGCAGTCACGACGCTTGAACATCTCACGCGGAAACTAGCCGCCAGGGTGTACTCCACGGGCAAGCACTGGCACGTTAGCTCGAACATTGTCGGGACGTCTCATGCGGAATGGCTGTCTGGGCTTCCGAGCCCCATGGTCATCGCGATGTAGCAGGGGTGGCATTTGAGCATCGGGGGGGGCTGCCACGGTGTGTTGCACGGACCCGTTCGCGCCCAGATTGCCAGGGGTTAATCGCCACAGTGCACTTCTGGAGGGGGGGCGTTGCTCTCGTCGACGCCCTATAGCCACCGCGATGTAGCAGGCATGACGCTTCGGCATCCCAGGGGGGGGGAGTCGCAGGGGTATGTTGCACGCCCCGTTTGCGCGCAGATTGCTGGGACATCTCAGGTGGAGTGGCTGTTCTTCGGGGGTAGATGCGTGTCTTTCTGAAGCGCAGCATGGTCATTGGTAACGCTGTATCAGGCGTAGCACTTTAGCCAAAAGGGAATGTTGCATGGACCCGTTCGCGTCCAGATTGTGGGATCCTCGGGGGCAGAATGGTCGTTTGGGGGTACAAAGCATGTCTCTTTTGCGAGCCACGTGGCCATCGCGATGCAACAGGCAGCGCACGTACGTGAGCACCCCAAAGATCGGCAGCGAGCGAGGGGGGAAAGTGAGAAGGAGCAGGCCTTCTCGGAAGGCGGCGGGACTTCTCGGAAGCCCTCGCGCCCTCAGAGAGGGTTTTTCCTGCGTCTCCGGGGAAGGCTTGGGCAGCTTCTCAGAAGACCGGGGGACTTCCGAGCCTTCTTCAAGGGAGAAAAAACCACCCGGACCCGACAATTGGCGTTTATTCAGCGGCCCTGGGCGTCTGCTGAACGGCCCTGCCCTGTCCGCTTCCCTCGCTGGGTGTGTTCACCATAAGCGGCTTCGCTTGTCGGGGTGATTCTTTTGGGAGTGGATCTGTTTGCCCTCTGGAGAAGGCCTTCCTCCTCCTCGCTTCCCCCCTCGCTCGCCGCCGCGAAGAGGCAGCCCGCAGGAGGCGCTGCACGGGCCCGCTTTCGCCCACCGCGCGGGGAGGCCGCACGCAGGGGCACTCGGGGGCAGCAGCGGGGGCCCGTCCGCGCTGAGAGTGCCAGGACCCCCCCCCCCTGGCAGAGGGGCAGCTCTGGGGGTACCACCTCCTCCTCCTCCTCCTCCTCCTCCTCCTCCTCCTCCTCCTCGTCTTTCCTGTGGAGCCCGTGCTTTGGCTTGGCCTCGGGAGTCCTTCGGAGTATGGCACGGAAGACTGTGAGCTGAGTCGAGCCCAGACGCTTGAGGCAACGGCCTTAGCGTTTCATATCTACCACAAAGCCAAAGATACCGTGCCTCCTGGGGCACACCTCACGTATACAGAAGCCGAGCGGATTGCTGGTGCTGCGCGTTTGGCGCTTCGCGTCTAGTGCGGTCATCGGGAGCCCGCCTTCAGGGTACGTCCACTCCTCCTCCTCCTCCCTCCCCTCCTCCTCCTCCTCTCCTCCTCCTCCTCTCCTCTCCTCCTCCTCCTCCTCCTCTCCTCTCCTCCATCCTCCTCCATCCTCCTCCTCCTGCATCCTCCTCCGTCCTCCTCCCTCCTCCTCCTCCTCCTCCTCCTCTCCTCCTCCCCCCCTCCTCCTCCTCCTCCTCCTCCGCCTCCTCCTCCCCCGTCCGCCGCGGAAGGCGGCGGACGGTCGGCGGAAGAGAAACGAGGCCGCCTCCGCCGGCGGAAGCCGGCGGAAGGCCAGCGGAAGGCGGCGGAAATAGAAACACGCTTCCAAGAGGTGATCACGTTTTCGGGTTCAGGGTTTCCGAAATCCGCCACTTGCATTCAGACCCGCTCAGACTCGCCCATGCCCAGGCACTCACAAGAAAGGGAACTCGTCAGAAAAACAAAATGCACCTGTGGGAACCTCCGCGTCGAGTAGCACAGGGCCCCCTCCCCCCCCCCGCCTCGTCGCGTCGTGAGAAGAGCTCGGCGCAAGATTTGTAGCCAGTTTCGGCGGCTGGCTGCCCTTCCCAGGCTCCAGGGCCGCAACAAAAACATTAGGGCAGGTGGTAATGGGGGGTGACCCAAACGGGGGGTGAAGAAAAAGACCGTGAATGGGGCCCTTTAGGGCCCCTTGTGGAGCCAGCTGGTGCCCACGCAAGGGGCCCTGAAGAGGCCGTGCAGGGCCCTTGACTTCACCCCCCATTTTGGCCCCCCTTCTTACCACCCGCCCGAAACAAACTCAGGATGAAAAGCCCGGTCCACGGGAAGGTGATCGTTTCCAATCATTGTTTTGCCGATCGGCGCGGGCACTCGCAGCCCCCTTTCCCTGCTCCATGGAGTGGATCTTGACTGTTTTGGCGCACGTGTTTCGAGCAGGTGGAGGCTCCCCAACGGGACGCACTGTTGCAAACAGTGGCGCTAAGCAGAGGTTCGGCGCCAGAAACACCCCCACTCCCCCTCCCTTCCGCCCAATGTCGAAACGCCGAATAAGAGAACGCTCACAAGGGGGCGGGACCTCCAGGGATCCACGCTGTGAGAGAAAGAGCGGCGCCTCGGAGGGCTGGGTTCCAAGGGGGTGCTCGCCGCCGCGCTTGGGCGCGTCTCGGAGAATCTGGCCAGGGCGTGCCTCGGCAGGCGTCCTGGGACCCCGCCGTGCGCGCGGGCGCCCGCGCTGAGGGGCTGTTCGCCAGAGGCCTCCGGCGCCACGGGGGACGGCCCTCTGAGAAGGCACGGGGGCCTCCCAGCCGGGCACAGGCGGCCTCTGCAGGGAGACCCCCCAGGGAGGAGGGAGGAGGGAGGAGGGAGAGAGGGAGGAGGGAGGTGGGAGGAGGGAGGAGGGAGGAGGGAGGAAGGGAGGAGGGAGGGGGAGGGAGGGGAGGGAGGAGGGAGGAGGGAAGAGGGAGGAGGGAGGAGGAGGGGGAGGAGGGAGGAGGAGGAGGGAGGAGGGAGGAGGGAGGAGGGAGGAGGGAGGGGGAGAGGGAGAGGAGGAGGGGAGGAGGGAGGAGGGGAGGGGAGGAGGGAGGAGGGAGGAAGGGGGGGGGAGGGAGCGGAGGGAGGGAGGAGGGAGGGAGGAAGGGAGGGAGGGAGGGAGGGAAGGAGGAGGAGGAGGAGGAGAAGGAGAAGAAGAAGAAGAATTAAGAAGAAGACTAATAAGACTAATAAGAATAAGAAGGACGAACACGAGTAATAGTAATAAGGAATAATACTTATAATAATAATAATAATAAATAAGAAGAAGAAGATACGAAACAATAAGAATCCTCATAATAAACTATTAATAAGAATACGAATAATAAGACAAATAATAGCATACTAATAATGATATATACAATAATAAGAGGAGAATAAGAAGAGGAGGAGGATGAGGAGGAGGAGGAAGGGAGGGGAGGAGGGGAGGAGGGAGGAGGGAGGAGGGAGGAGGGAGGAGGGGAGGAGGGAAGAGGCG